GAGGATACCCAAGCGGAGGAAGGCCCCCAGGGCCCGGGGGGGGGGGGGTAGGGTAGGGTAGGGGTCAGGGGTTATTAAGACTCTGACGGAGTCCCTGCACGGCCCCGAGTTTTAATGGAGCTTCAGAAAATAATCAGCTCTGCTGTTGTTGCTTACAGAATTTCTGACGTCCGCAGTCGTAATGAAAAGTGATCAGAGTGTTGTTGGCCAATTACTGTGAGCAGCAGAGAGAGCCAGCTTGTTTTTATGAACACAGCCTGAGAGAGTATGTGAGCAGAATTCAAAGAGGAGGGAAGTGGAGGAGGAAGGAGGCGTGCAAAAGTCAAACGCTAACTAGGACGCAGCTTTTCTGTGCAGAGCCTGTTTACTGTGACCAGGCAAAGGAAGAGAGGAGGAAGAGAGCCGCAGTGGAACACAGTAGAACGAGACCATTCTTCAACTTTTAGCCAATAAGAACTCCACAGCAGAAGACGTCCAGTTACAGCACGGCTCAGACCTTATTGGACACTTCCATAACTCAAAAATATGTTGCATCAAATAAATAATCCCTTTAACTTGGCCTCTACCTCCACAGAGTTTCTGACACTCTTAGATAATGGACCTGTGGCAGTTTGGTTTTCATCACATGGATGAACCACAGACGAACCACAGACGAACCACAGACGTCTGTCTGTGGTGAAACCTCGCTTCAGCTTCAGTCAAAACAAATGTAACACCGACACCTGGATGTCTGAGTTCTTTCAACGTGTAACTAAACTTGAACAAACTGTCAGGTTTCCTCTTCCAACTCTCTGCTGTTCAAACTGCTCAGAGTCACTGCGACACTGAGCAGTGAAGGCAGATGTCTCTCTGTCTCTCTCTCTATTTATGACAAGCGCAGTGTTTTTAAACAGAAACTGGAGTTTGGAAACCTTTACTTTTGGTAAAACACTTTTGAATGATTCAAACCAAAGCTATGATTTCTTTTCTTCCTCTTTTGTGAACTGAACTTAAATGAAATACCTTGGAGTGGAGTTGGTTTATCTGCTCCTCCTCCTCCTCCTCCTCCTCCTCCTCCTCCTCCATGTTGTTGTAGTAAACCTTTGTCCTCACACCTGAGGTCTGGCTCCCTCTGGTGTGTTTTCATTGGTTAATCCGTCTCATCACACTCACCTGTGTCATGTGATCAGCTGATGATTAGCCTCACTCATGCCACCTGGTGGCCTGTGACGTGGTTGGTTCTTGACTGTCAATGTAACAACACTCTGTGTGTAATTCATGAAGATTGAAAATGATTTTGTTCTTCAAAAAATGTTTAGAAAATGAAGGGAAATAAAGGGGTAAAAAAAACAAAACTATTTTGAACTTTGATCATCTTCTGCTGCTTAATCCTCTTCAGGGAGTTTTGATCCAATCCCTGTA